AGAAAGGAAATGAAAGGAGTAAAAATTACCTGAGTATGGAGGAATAAGGAAAGGACAAGCTAGAACTCAACCCTTCAAAGGTCCTCACGAAGAACAACACCAAGGGAACTAGAAGACTTACTCAAAGGAGATGCCCAGAAATGAAAATGCTCAGAAAAGGAGACGAAGATGTGAAAGCTCTAAACAAACACGAGAAGGAGAATTTAAAGGCAATCTCAGCCTTGGGCGCGAATATGAAAGGCCTCAAACGTTTGAATGGCCAAGGGCAAGGGGGTGAAAACACTGCCCATGTATTAAACCAAGGCAATCATCACACGAGCAGTTTCAGAGCAGCACACTATCCACGACACACGAACCCCAAATGGGCGTGAGACACGTGGAGCGTCGTAACCGTCATTGCAGGCAAGAAGCGAAAGTTTAACCTGATATGACAAAGCTCAGATATGACCTTATCCATAGCAGTATGACCGAGAACATTACCGCGACCAGAATCGACAAATGAGATCTCGACAAAAGAAAAATTCTCTTGTTCGGACTCATAGTTTAACCGACATATTAAACATCGGATTCACGTTCCAATCCTCGACGAGATCAGCATGGAACATCATGATATCCATACAAACGACCGCGGCAAGACCAAGTCCGAGTTAAAAGTCGAATTCACTTAAACACCCTAGCATTCCGAGCTTCGCAATACCGGGATGGGGGGAAACTGTTATGCATATATTCCATATCCTAACTACTCACCCAAGGATCTCTTAATGGATAATTACCCAATTATTCTAATAATATCTAATCAATAAAGCCAAACAGGATAAAGTCCTTATCCCAACAGAAGAGGAGTTGAATCCTAATACAACTGGGAGATCTACACAAACCCAAGACTTAACCCCTATAAATAAGAGGCTTAAGACCCCAGGTACACACTTTTCAACCTATTCTACTATTACTGCCAACACTATGCACACACCCACGTCTTGGCTATAAGCTTATTGCTTGTGCGCAGTGATTGAGATATTAGCTATAAGCCAACCAAGATACCTCTCTATAGGGTATCTCTGAGCACATACTATACAATATTTATCACGGTTCCTCTAGGATAGAACATAATCTATCTTTTTTTGTTTTTGTTTTGTCGTTTTGAATTTAAAATATTTGATCAGCCTGCTGCTTTGTGATGGCATTGGCATATAACATCTATTCAGTAGTCACATTGTATTCGTCATTTGTTAGTTAGGTTAAGAAGATTACAATTGGGAAATTGTCTTGATTGCATGCTTTTCAGATTAAGTAGAACTCTCTTAACATCATAATAATGGCTTATGTCACACAGTACTTTTTCCTAGCGATTCAGATATTTTTACAATCAAGGAATTGCACATTGGTCTCTCAGTGTCCTTATGGAGTTCCTATTGTAAAGTTGGTTCAACTTTTATTTATTCTCTTGAGCAGTGGGGGAGTTGTTACGCAAGAGAGCATCATACAGTTAAAATAAAGTTTAGAGAAAAATGAATTTTAAATAGTTAATCAGATCAATTGGCAAGGTAAATGTAAATCCAGCATGAGTCTATATGTACTATATAACAGTGACTAATTAAATAACCATTTTTTTAGACACCAATGGTATGAATTAACTTTATCTTCACTTCACCGGACAAGAAGGTCAACACGTACAAATACATCAATTGAAATGACACGAGATTTATGTAAAAAACTTAATTGGAAAAACCAATAGCAAGACTAAAAAAGATTTTCACTGTATTAAAAAAACTACAATCTTTCTCTAAAATGCAAGGAGAAAACAGTATCATTCTCTCTTATATTAAAAGAATATGCTTCATTCAAAATAACACTCATAAAATACTATTTCTCATCTCTCTAAATTTTATATTGAAGGCCTCTATTTATAAGCCAAAAGTTTGCAAGTCATATTGTAAATTACGCATTTCGGTGATGCTACATCAACTCGTGCAAATTGATTGCACAACATTTTCAATTTAGGCCATCGGAAGTGGCTTTCACATGTCACTGCTTATGCCAGAAGTCACAGAGGGATTATGAGAGGAGATCATCCCCTCAATTTTACCAAACAATTATCTTAGACTACATTTCAACTTGAAAGAAAGGTAATCTAGCATAAATTTCCCCCCTTGGTCTTCATTATTCCTCATGTATGAAAAAAAACTAGAGATTTCTTCAAATCTAGCCACATATTAACCCACTAATGTGTTAACCTGTCTAGGTCAGTGTAAATTTTACTTTTTTAGCCCCCCTCACAAAATTTTCTAACTCAGTTTAGTGTTGAGTCGCACCTTAATGCAATAATAAGATTGTTGTCTTGTGACTTGATATTGTTGCCTTGTGACTTGATGTTCACATGTAATAGTTGCCGAAACAGCCTTTTTGCTCAAAAGATAAAGTTGCTTTCATCTAATCATTCCAAGCCCCACAATGGTGGAGTCTCGTGACTGAGCTGCCCTTTACATGTTCTGTTTCGATCATTATTTTCGTAATTTTTAATGTAAAAATACCAATTGATGATAAACACAAACGATCTGAGTTTTTTTTTCCCATAAAAATAGGTGTAAAAGAAAAGTGTGAAAAACAAAGCGTAGGATTTACATTTTTTCACCTCAGTCAGCTAGTTGGACGGGTTTTTATATTTATTTGTCTTCGACAAACAAAGGAATCAATTGTAATCTTAGCACATAAAAAAAAATAACTCAGTTGAACTTTTCATTTTCGTTCTAGCCTATTCCTAATAGGCATATATTTCTTGCAGTGCAGGCCAACTCTACAATACTCCTAGTAAGGGTGTTAACGGGCTGAGCCGAGCTTTGATTTTAAAAGGCTAAGCTTGTGTTTAAATGTATCAGCCTGACAAAGCCTGTTACCTGTTATAAATATAATTATCAGCCTGTGGCTTGACTTATTTACAAAAAATAAAAGCTTTGTTTAGCCTCTTAACCTGTTTAAAAAAAAATTAAGACAACAAAAATTTATCCAAACAGAATATACAATCAACAATATTAGTCATTCCATAAATATTCATGAATTCAATTTATATCCAAACAACATAATATAGAACAAAATCATTTAAAAAGTTGGTTTAACCAATAAAATGGGATGAAATGGATTGAGGAGAAAGAGAGGGTTATTACAAGTAGTATAAAAAATATAAAATATAAATAAAAATAATATACTAGGCCAGCCTGATAGGCTTTAAGGCCGAGCTTTTGAATTAGAGTCTGAGGCCTTTTTATTAAACGAGCTTTTATACAAGTCCAAGCCTAGTGACAACAACCAATTTTAAACATGTAAGCTCAGGCCTTCACGAGCCGAGCCAAAGACCTCTGAAAGGTCCTTGATTTGTTTAGCACCCCTAACTCCTAGAGCTAGTTTGACATGTTGTATTAGATATAATAGAATAAGTTAATATAAGCTAATGTAAAAACTTCTCCGTTACAACTATAAATACTCGTATGTTTCCAATACCTTTGTCCTTTGTCCTAGGGTTGGCAAAAATGAGCCAATCCATCGGGTTGGCTCGTAACTCGCCAAAAATGAGTCGGGTTGGGTTGGTAAAGTTAAGCTGCCAATCCGACCGGAGCCAACTCGGAAAAAAACGAGCCAACCCTCGGGTCAAACGGGCTAGCTTGCGGGTTGAGTCTTTTTTTATAAAAAATATAAAATATAATATACAAAAACGGACAAAACCCACACATGCTATCATCATCTTTCTTTCTTCTCTAAATCTAAGTCCATAATCTTCTCACATCCCTGCCATTTTTATATTGTTAGATTGTGTTGGCTCTGTTTGGTTCAAATATCTTACCCACTTGGTAACAAGTGGTTCTGATTGTTTCTTGATGTGGGTGCAAATTTATTGTGGAAAAATTCCGAAATTAGAATATTTTGCTTTTATTTCTCATTTTGTAACCTTTTGTTTAAGTTGATGGAAGCCACATAGCTGATGTATTAATACTATAGGTTCATTTAAGTAGGCTGAAAACGAACCAATCAGCGAGCAATTTTCAAGCCAACTCACGAGCCAACTCGCGAGATATTTTTTCAAGCCAACCCACGAGCCATATTTTTGAGCCAACCCTAACCCGACTCGGGTCGGGTTGGGTTTTTTGACTTGTTTTTTTTTCGAGTCAACCCTAATCCAACTCATTTTTTCTAGGCTGCATGCGGATTGGGCCGGGTCGAGCCATATTGACCCGTTTTGCCAACCCTACTTTGTCCCTTTTCCCTTTCGCTGCCAAAATGAGCTTATCTCAAATTCGCTATTGAATGTTTTGAATTTTTAACAATCTATTTTCTACTGAATTGATATTATGTATGAATGTGAGTGAAAGAAAATAAGAGAGAACAATTTGAAATGAAATTCTTATTTTCTAGATAGTTTTGTTTTCATTCAAATTAATTTTATTTATTTATAAATTAGTATAATATAATACATTTAGATAAATAAAACACTTTAAGTAAAGTATTTTTGTAAAAAGTAGCGTATCACTAATAAAGTAATAGCATTACTTTATGGGTTTTCGTTTTATCCTTTAACATAACACAACAAACTTTCCTACGCTCACAACATTTTGTGGAGCCCACACTTTTTAAAACAAAAAAATAAATAAAAAATTAAGGCACGCAAAACGAATCTCTATAACATTACACAATCACTTTTCCTACAACATAACTCTTATAAAACCCTTACTTTATATGATACAATGTTATACAATGTCACCTCAAACATTGCATAATATTTAAATTTTATATTGTCACATCTCATCCTATCTATCATTCATATCAAACGGGTCCTTATAGGGTTAATTATACACCATCAAGGGGTGTGACTTGACATATGATCAATTAAGTTACATATTGATTCCAACATTATAAAGTATTGTAATTATATAACTAAGTGAATCATACTTTATGTCACATCATGAAACAAGAAAACCATTTTGAACTCGTAAGAGCCATAGGCTATAAGGATTCCCGTTACAAAAAAATAATAATAATAAAAAAAAAAAAATCATGAACTAGGCGTAAAAAATATGTACTCAAATGTAGCAAAAATTCCCCTCCATGTTTACAAGGCCTAAACACAGCTTTAGAGTACCTAGAAATCTTCCACATAATGGAAGCTAGGCAATGCTACATATATATATATACACAACACAAGTTCTTGGCACTAAATAAGCTTCATCGAGGTTACTGTTAATGGCATAGCCAAAACAATTTGAAGCAAATATACATCTTCAATTAAATTTCAGGACCAGAAGCAAACAAGCATACAAGGCCACGAAACACTTGAGCTGAGAGTTGGTGTGCCTGAAAGATCTCACCATCCAAATTCCATACACTCTCATTGCCCAAAGAAGTAAAAGTGAATGCAGGGGTCTGCAAAAAGCTTAATAAAATTAGAAAGTTATTTATTCATGAGATAAGGTGGTGAGGAATGGGGGAAAACTAACCTTACGATGTTCAACAAACTTAAAGTTCAAGGGGCTTCCCCCTCTTCTTGTGAGTTGAGTCAGGTGCCTGTATCATTCAGTAAGCAAACAAAGAAAGGATCTTGTTACTAAATGTGCAAGTTATATTTGATTCTAGTGAAATAATGAGACAAATATATAAAAAGGCAATGAATTAAACTATGTTAAGAAATATGAGGAAGAGAATAAGAAATTACAAAAAAAAGTTCTACAGAAAAGATCATCACAGGGATGATATTATTCACAAATGCCAATTCTTCACTCTTCAACAATCTTCTCAACAGCGGATTATAAGTTACAACAATATATATGACTAAACTTTATGAGCTTAAAGGTGGGGCGATATATGACCAAAAAATCGAAATGTTGCTCACAACTAAATGCTTATATAAGTGAGATTCGAGAGGTTTAGGTTTTCACTCTTAATTGTTTGGTTGAGCAATGAATACACTAGAAGGTAAAAAATTATTTTCTTCCCGCTTGCACTGTAGGACTGAAAGTAGAAAAACTGGAAAAATATAATGACCACTTTACCCTTGCACATGCAACCAGGTACTGTACAAAGAAGAGTTATTTCAGATTCAGATCATACAAAAAGTAGGGTTACTAAGTAGTTTCAATGCATGATTGGTTCAAAGGTACTTCCTATCATGAAAACGAGTTGCATATTATTTTCCACCACCTCAACCAAGCAGACCCTAAATGCAGACAAGTTCAAGTGTCCAACAAATTGATATGATATTGGATTGCCATGTCACACAGGATACTAATTTACTTTTCAAAATAAACTAGACCGATTCCATTCTCGATACCAGAAGATCTGCAAGATTTTCAGGAGACTTATTGACTTTCATAATTTCACATGGGAAATGTGGAAAGAAAGACAAGCAGTGTTTACCATAAATAAGAAGCATGAGGACAGTCTCTAATCAATATAAGATGAAGGAAACCATCTGAAAGGTGTGCATCAGCCACCAAACCATCAGGTGCTTTTTCGTTCCTGCAAGAGATTACCGCAGCTCCTACACTAAGAAACCGTCCTTTGGATTTCATCCATCTTCTTTCTTGTGAATACAAATGAGGTGTTAGGCTGCAAAATCCAGCAGATGCATGACTTGGCTTTTCATTACAAACTTTGCAATTAGCACGGCAGATACATCTTTCTGATGTGCGCGGGGTTCTCAATGCCCGTAACAGACTACCCTGACGATTCCTTTTGGAAGTCAAATTTGTTTCATCTGATTCAACATCTAGGTATGCTATTTCTGCCTCATATGACCTGAATGATATTCACTCAAAAGAAAGGAAAAGGTAAATAAGCAACATGTCAAAAAGTGTCAATAGTTAAAATAAGTGACACATAGCTCATTACTAATACTAGCAATTACATGATGCAAAAAATGATTTCTATGTGGAGAGACACTACCATTACCATGTGAAGTATATGGATCTTTTTCACTTATGTAGTCCTCACATAACTCATTCTTAACCAATGGGGCACTTCAATTGAATTTCCAATATTTCCCCTTTCAACCGTGAGTCCCAACATTAATATGCTTTGCTAGCAGTCCAAGACTTAGAAAGCATTCATATAGCATAGTCTACCATGTAAAGGAATAAAAGAGGTGTACAAGGAGAAGAATGGAATTCAAGAAATGACATTTAAAGCTGAGATAATCAAAGCACAATTTCGCATCCACTTAGAGAATACCTGTGCTTTAAAAATACCATTGTTCCTGCATAATCATAACGTTTGGGACCCATCCAGCGATACTTCTCACTCTCTGTGATGACATCACCATAAAATCCATACCTGAGGTTATTAATATAGAATATAAGATTACTGAAGAAATATTTATCTTAATTAAGGATTAATATGTATTATATGCTGTTATAAGATAAGAAAATGAGAAGAAGTGAAAGAAAACGAAAGAAAATAATGCAGAGAGACCAGATAGAAACAGTGTGCTTTCTGTGAATCTGAATTTTTTATTCTTCAATTCACTCTTGTTTTGAACTCTACAATATGTAGAGTCTGTTGAGACAATTGACAACAGTCTCAACTGACAGCACAACAGATTATGTTACAAACAGAACTCTACTGAACTAACTACTACAACCAACAGTATGCTAAAAGCATAGGTGGTGTATATCTCTAACATATGCAAGATGACAATGCCAGTACATGTCTCAAGGTGTATAAATTGAAGTTAGAGTTTCTTGATAAGTCACAAAAAATCTCAACTGTTATTTACATCTTCATTCGTAATGCGAAAAGAACCTTAATTGTTGAAAACTAAGTAAAAGATCCAAACTTAAAAATGAATATAGACAAACTTTTGATTATTTGTTAAAGCAAATTCCATTCAAGCTGTAACAATGCAGTGAGGCTAGCAGATTAAATGTACTTTAATCATAGGTTCAGAAATTTTCTGCACTCTATTGTCACCCCTATTGATCATGTGAAAGTGAATCGAAAGCCCAAAATATAATTTTTTTTTTTATAAAAGAGTAAATTCGTTAAGACAAAAAAAGATCGAAAGGAGATTGGAGGATAAGACATCCTCTTTAAAAAGGAAAATTCAACTAAAATAAAAAAATAAAAAAATAAAAATCAATGAAGCAAATATTCCCAGTCCCTAAGCATAGCTGTAAGGGACTCTAAAAAGACCATGAGCTTTACACCATGTAGAAGCCAAATGTCTAATCCTATAACAAAGACGCTGCTTGGTCATTGAGATTCGATAAAAATACAAGAATTACGCTCCAATCATATGCAGCAAAGAGTAGCATAGACAGGAAAGTGCCACAAAAATTGGTTTCTTTACATCTAGCAAAACCAGTAAAATTGATCCTAGGACAGTGCCAAATAACAAATTCGAAAAAGAGACAACTAAACAGTGCAAAACATGATACTGAACAGACTCTAAGCTTGCAGCACGAATAACACAAACCAGATGAAATAGCCGTGTGCTGCAAAATATCATTGTTATTTGTAAAGAACTATTTCAATCCAAAAGCTTAAGTTATTAGATGAAGGTCACATTAATGGATTTATATTATATTTCTCTAACATGCCCCCTCACATAAGAGCTTATTGGGCTTAAAAGGTGGACAATGCATAGGCCCACCTACCTATATTAAAATCTCCACAATGTTTAATTATATATTATTATAATAGGGAGCAATGAGAATCGAACTCATAATCACTTTGGTCACAAAGGCTCTGATACTAATGAAAGAACCATTTCAATCCAAAAGCTTAAACTGTTAGGTGAAAGCCACATTAATAGTTTTATATTATATTTCTTCAACATTATTAATTCTATTGAGTACAACTGTCCAAATAAACGACTTTACCATAAAGGGAGCTTTGGACTTCCAATAAGTTTATCAAGATGGAACGAAACCCAAAGTAGCTTCTGTTGAGATATATAGTCCCACATTGGTTGTATGTGCAACTAATGTGGAGTTTATAAGGCCTTGGGCACTCCCACCCTTTGAGCTAGCTTTTGGGGTGGTGTATCCCAAGGTTCTTTACATGGTATCAGAGCCTCGCCGCCCCTCACTTTCTCTTGTGGCGTTTCTTAGCACAGGTAGGCTGGGCCTGTTGCATTTGTCCACTCTTCAAGCCCAATGGGCTCTTGTGTGAGGGGGCGTGTTGAGATATATAGTCCCACATTGGTTGTATGTGCAACTAATGTGGAGTTTATAAGGCCTTGGGCACTCCCACCCTTTGAGCTAGCTTTTGGGGTGGTGTATCCCAAGGTTCTTTACAGCTTCATTTCTAAAATTCTTATGAATCAGACTTCAAAAAGCTTGTCGTTTTAATCTACTCCACTGCCATACAACACCTAACAATTAGTTTATAGCTGTGCAAGTAAAAATATTTGTTTTCCCTAGTTGACCAAAGCATGTTCTCCAGTCCAAGAGAAAGAGAGGGAACAAGTTTCCAGCTAGCAATATATTTCTTTAACAGAAAATAAATATTGGCAATAAATAATAATAATAAAAAAGAACATCAAAACAAAATCCTTTAGTGAACCTACAATAACATCAATCATAAGGAGCTTAGCACATTGACAAATGTTTGGAAGTGAAGCCAAAACAAGATGCTTAAAAGACAAACAGTTGTAACTAAAGTAAGCTTAAAGGAGCAATAATTTGGACAGAATTCTATTGATAATTAAAGAACACATAATCTGTGTTCTTCAGGTAATATAATAGATAGAAATTACCCTGAAAAGGAAGCTGCGTAGCGCACATTAGGTTCAACCTTAGATCTAGGAGTTGTTTTCCACCGTACAACTTGAGCTATGTCAAGGTGCACCCTTTTACCAAGGACAATTTGCAATGCAGAAGTTATAGGATCTCGAGCTCCAGTTGTACTAAAAAAGATAGTGTTGTATTCAGAATTTCACATAACCCACAAGAATTGTATAAAAAAACTATAAGGATATACAGAAAATTCTGGCTATACAAATTTAAATATCATATAATTTGTAAAAGTATGTATTAGAATATCTACAAAATATCTTAAAAGATCTTCAGAAAATATTATGGAATCAATTAGTTATCTAATTGAGGAAGTAATCTTGGACATTATTTCCTAATTTAATGTTCTTTTACTTATTACCTCATTCAATTAGGGTTAGTAGGCCTATTGTATTAGTGGACTTGGGCTTGTACTAGTAATACTACACTAGTACTTGACCTAATTATTAGCATTAATAGGAACTGGGATAATATCTTGTATCATATCATTACAACACTTTCTCTTTTTCCTCTTTCCCTGTCTAAACCCCATAATTTCAATAGTATGCAACTTTATAGATAGATCATTATATAACCACAATATGTTTTTAGATGCAAATGTGCAAACCTTGCACCATCAACTGTGCAAACCTTGCACCATCAACTGTGCAAACCACAATTTTTATTCATTGGCAAACTAGCAAAAAATAGTATTGTTAGAAACCCGTATATAATTAGGTTAAGTTAATTATTCAATGTTCAATGTATGTAGTTAGTAGTTAATCATTTAGATTTAGTTACTATAATTAGGACTCCTTCATTATACCTCTGCCTTTAACCCTTTCTTGCAAAGCCTGGCCTCTCCTTCCCTTCTTTATTTGTTTCTTGTACAGTAACATGCACTTTGATTTCAATATATATATGAAAAAATGATTTATAATATGACTGCATATAAGTATTGGTGCAGTCACCTAAAACTACGTCGTTTTGGGTGGGATAAAGAAAGTTCGCATTCACAATTAATTGTAAAATGATTTATAATGTGACTGCATATAAGTATTGGTGCAGTCACCTAAAACTACATCGTCTTGTGTGGGATAAAGAAAGTTCGCGTTCAAAATTAATTGTACAGAAGAGAAATATTATATTTATTTCTACCTTTGTATGGTTATTATTTCCCATATTTAATGTTTTATATCTATTTTCACCTTTGTATGGTTATAATTCCCCATATTTAATGCTTTCATACTATAAAATGACATAGTTTTATATGACTACACCTAAGGATAGGTGCAGTCTGTACATCCGCTAAACCCTATATATATATATATATATATAACTATATATATATATATATTGTTGTAAATAATAATATTTATTTATTTGTTGTATTGGGCTTAGCCCATTAGGTCATGTAATCTCTTTAAATAAAGAACCTTTTGTACAGTTTACATACAATTTCAATAATATATCAGATTATCCTTTTTCAAGTTGGTATCAGAGCTCTCAATTCTGAGGGTTCTGCTTCCGCATATCACCATCTTTAAAAACCAAACCTTATTTGCCTCTCGCCGCCACCGGAAAAATTTTTCCGGGGACCGTGAGGACCCTTGTTTCACTCCGTTATTTTAGATCTATCATTCTACGGAGGTTTTTTTTCATCAGACGACCGGAACAGCTAAAAAAAAAACGCGGTACTGTTCATCGCGCACTGTTCACGCGGTATTGTTCATCGGGTACTGTTCACAAAAAAAAAAAAAAACTTTTCCTGCTTTGTTTTGTCTCCTCTTCATGGATCAGCTTAAACCCGCTATTGATAATATGTGTAAGCCATCTGACCGTTCTTTAATCTTGTCTGGTAAGAACACACGTTCTACATCTCTTCTTGCTTCTTGCACTGATTTTAAAACCTCATGGATTTTGGATTCTGGTGCAACTGATCAGATGACTTGTCGTACTGAGTTTTTTCTTTCTTTCATCCTATTGTTGGTAGTCATACTATATCCGTAGCTGATGGATCCCATAAATCAGTTATTGGTTCTGGTAACATTCAAATTCAACCTTCCTTGTTTCTTAAAAATGTTCTTTATGTTCCTCAGCTTTCTACTAACCTTATTTCCATTCAAAAACTTACAATTGATTTGAATTGTTCCATCACATTTTTCCCTTCTCATTGTGTTATTCAGGATCTTACCACGAAGAAGACAATTGGGGTTGCTATTGAGCAGGATGGGTTGTATTATCTCCTTCCAGAACATGTTATAAATGATAGCAAAAATCAGTTATTAATGACACGTCATCCTTCTACTACAGAGTCTATGATTTGGCTCCATCACAAGCGTCTGGGGCATCCACCATTCATTCTATTGAAGTCAATGTTTCCTTCTCTGTTTCTAAATCAGTCGGTTGAGACCTTCCATTGCGATGTTTGTGAATTTGCAAAACACCATCAAGTGTCATTTCCTTCTAGCACTATCAAAAGCAGCGAACCTTTTTCTCTTATCCATTCTGATGTTTGGGGCCCTTCTAAAGTGCATAGTGTTTCAGGTGCAAGGTGGTTTGTTACTTTTATTGACGATTGTACTCGGGTAACATGGATATTCTTGATGAAAGACAAGTCTGAAGTACCAGAGATATTTATTTGATTTCATCACATGGTTGAGACTCAGTTTGGTAAGTTTATTAAAAGACTAAGATCTGATAATGGTACTGAGTACGTCAACCAACGCCTGTCACAATTCATTTCAAACAGAAGTATGATTCATGAGCTCACGTGTTGATACCCCTCAACAAAACGGGGTTGCTGAAAGAAAAAATCGTCACCTCCTAGAAGTTGCTAGAGCACTACTTTTCCAGACATCTGTTCCTAGTTCTTATTGGGGAGAAGCTGTGTTAGCTGCAGCCTTTATGATCAACCGCTTACCTTCACGGGTCCTTAACAATACCCGTCCTATTGATTCCATGACTTCCTTCTTTCCTTCTGTTCCCATTTTGCAGAGCCTTCCACCAAGAGTGTTTGGATGTGTTGCCTTGGTTCATGTTCATAAACAACATAGCAGTAAGTTGGATCCTAGGGCTCTTAAGTGTGTCTTCCTTGGTTATGCCCCTGATAAAAAAGGGTACAAGTGTTATCATCCACCAAGTCGAACTTTTTTTGTTTCTATGGATGTCACCTTTCAAGAATCTGAGTCTTATTTCCTGGGTCTTCATCTTCAGGGGGAGAACAGTTCTTTAGAAGACTCATCCCCTTCCTGGTATAACAGTTCTTTAGAAAACTCATCCCCTTCCTTCTTTGAGTCTGGATCGTCCTTATCTACTCCTACACTTCTTCCTAGTGTGTCTGCTCCTGGTGTGTCAGAACCTTCAAATACACCTGAGATACGAAAGATTTTGACACCTGAATTGGTATATCAAAGGAGGAAACAACCCATACTGTCTCAACAACAACCTCAATCGTCTGAACCACTGGTAAGTCCTGAATCTCCTGTTTCTGATTCTAATATTATTACCTCTCATGATTTGCCTATTTCTTCTGATACCTCTGATGACTTACCCATTGCTTCTGCTTCTGATAACTTACCTATTGCCCTAAGAAAAGGGAGAAAATCTTTTACTCAATACCCTATCTCCCATTTTGTTTCTTCTACTAATCTTTCTGTGCAGCACGAAAACTTTGTTTCAGCACTAGATTCTATTTCAATCCCAAAATCAGTACATGAAGCATTGAAAGATGAGAATTGGGCTCAAGCCATGCAAGAGGAGATGAATGCGTTGGAGAAAAATAAAACATGGGAGGTTATTGATAGACCCAATGGAAAGAAAGCAGTAGGGTGCAGATGGGTTTATGCCCTAAAGTATAATTCTGATGGCACTCTTGAGAGATATAAGGCTCGGTTAGTCGTTAAAGGTTACACTCAGACCTGTGGCATTGATTATGAAGAAACCTTTGCTCCAGTTGCAAAGATGAATACGGTGAGAGTCTTGTTATCCCTTGCTGCTCATTACAATAGGGATATAAGTCAATTTGATGTGAAGAATGCTTTCCTTAATGGTGAGTTAGAAGAAGAAGTCTACATGGAAATCCCTCCTGGTTTTGATTCTGTGAATAGAGAAAATAAAGTTTGTAGATTAAAAAAGGCCTTGTATGGATTGAAGCAGTCACCTCGTGCCCGGTTTGGAAGATTTACTAAGGTTATGATGACCTTAGGATACAAACAAAGTCAAGGAGATCACACTCTTTTCTTTAAGCACTCCTAAGATGGGAAGCTCATTGTGCTCCTTGTATATGTTGATGATATTATTATCACAGGTGATGATTTTGTGGAGAGACATATTCTGCAAACAAGACTAGCATCTGAGTTTGAAATTAAAGACCTTGGGAAACTGAGATATTTCCTAGGGATAGAAGTAGCTCATTCAAAAAAAGAAATTTTTATTAGTCAGAGGAAATATGTTCTTGATCTTCTCAAAGAAGCAGAAAAGCTCGGGTGTAAACCCTCTAATACTCCTATTGAGCAGAATCACAAGATAGGCTATGAAGAGGAGAGTCCTCCAGTTGATAAAGGACAATATCAACGGCTAGTTGGGAAATTAATATATCTGGCTCATACTAGACCAGACTTAGCTTATGCTGTTAGTGTTGTCAGTCAGTTTATGCATGATCCAAAGGAGAAACACATGCAGGCAGTTAGCTGATGTATTGACAAAGAGACTTACTTCAGACAGATATCAAGAGCTTACTAGCAAGCTGGGAATGATAAATATCTATTCCTCAGCTTGAGGGGAAGTGTTGTAAATAATAGTTATTTTCTTATTTATTAATTTATTTGTTGTATTGGGCCAAGCCCATTAGGTCAAATATTAGGTCTTTTATTCTCTATAAATAGAGAACCCTTTGTACAGATTATTTACAATTTTATAATATATCAGAATACTCTTTTCAAGTATATATGAGGAGGGATCAACTTACCAAAGTGTAAGTCTAAAAAATCTTATATCCCTTTATTAATGGTTGATTCTACTTGCATCTAATAGTTCTAATTGATTGGACATGAGAGCCATTAGATACAAATAAAATCAATGGTTAAAAAAGCGCGTACAAGATTTTAGACTTATACCGATGTAAGTTTTATATATATATATGAGGAGAATCTTCTTACACCGGTATAAGAATAATAAATATTACAGTCAATCTTAACCGTTAATTTTTGTACATTTGATGGTTGTAATTTATTGGGAATTAATAATTAATTAATGAGAATAACGCAAACAATTATAGTCATTTGATAGACGGAAATCAACGACTGAGATTGAGTGTAAGATTTATTATTCTTATATCGGTGTATATTGATCTATATATATATATTGCTTTAGCAGTCCTAATAGCAAAGCAACCACAGGAAATGCTGGAGAGGATGCTTCAACTTCTACCAACCAGAGCAAGGACTTCAACTTTTTTTGTGTGGTACTGAACTTTGGAACTTCAGGGCTGTCATATATAATTTCACATTTTATTGTTAATATATTTAATTTGTGTGACAAATTAATGCATAATAGTAAAATTAATAATATTTGTAAGGCTTTTCTTTAGGGAGGCAAGCAACCCTGGTGCCTCTCGCCTCAAGGCCTCCTCGATTATAGCTTGGATTTATTAAATGATTTATATTCAGCACCCTGTGTAATTATGCAGAAGTGATTATAACTATTACCCTTGCATATTTTCAAAGAGACTAGTTCCCGGATTCGAACTCGTAAATGTAATTATGCAGAAGTAATTATAACTATTAGAAGTAATTTATGCAGCACAAGGTAGAAAGATGTTTCTGAAAGAAGGTATTGCATATATGGTTAAGATTTTTAACCCATGAAAATCAATACAGATTATAATGGAAAGTAAAAGATTTTAGATATGAAACATAACTCTTCTCTCGTGCAGAATGGACATTAAAAAATACAAGGAAGGAAAGAAATTACCAGATTACAATGGCATCAGTTGAACCTGCAGGAATGATCCCAAATCTAAACCATTCGTTGGGCACAGGAAACTCAGGAGCCTTGTCTTCTGAATCTTCAAAAGCCACATAATAATTAGTATTAATTTGTTATGGATTTTTCCCTTTATCTTTTCATTGTGGCTTTGTGTTTCTATAAAGTAAACTAGAGAATGTAAAGGCGAAAGAGAAATGGTGGTTGGAAAAACTAACATTTCATGTTGGTTATTAAAGTATGGAAAAACTAACATATTTACTGCTAGAAATGATATGATGCAATTTACAAAAAAAAAAAAAAAAATGATACAATGCAATTAATGAAATGTTGGAATGATGACTGTAATTAATACAGCATCAGAAATACTAGGAGTTAATGTAGAATTGGAAACACAAGGGTTAGGAAATAGTTCAATTCTTATTTATTGTTCTCGTAAATACAAGTTGTATTTGTTCTTTCCTGTATATAATTATCAACATGCTGAGTAAAAACCACTCAAGCAATTAACAAATCACTTTCTTAATTTGTCCTCAAGATCTATTCTCGAGTTTTACAACAATAATTTCAGTTACTGTAATTCCAATGACATACAATAGCCAAGAAAATATGTAAATGGATGAGTCAGCTAGCAATCACAAGTAGAAAGCATTTTTTGAAATCCAGTTAAGTATTGATAAACTGAACTCACTAGGATTTGAGATTCTGGACCCAGATTGCTTTGGACTTGAAATCAGAGGAAACTGGTCTTCACTCTGACTCGAAGTTTCTTCAACTATTTCATTATCATCAAGAACCAAGGAATCACCATTATCTTTAACCAAATGAACAAAATCTGGTGGAGTTGGTGGGTAGGGAGCTTTAAGCCTGGGAGAAAGAAACCCATTAAGGATTTCATTGAAAAATCCATCACCACCCTGGAATCACCTTAATTAGAATACAATTATTGGAAAGAAAAAAAAAAAAAAAAAAATAGAAAATAACAAATGGATGCATCTAAAACACTAAGGTTTAAAACTCTATTAGAACAAATGTCATAAACATATCAAAAACATGATCAAGGAATTAGATTAATAAAATATCTCTGCATATAATGTTCTTGGAATTCGCAACGTTGAGCAGGACATATAATAAATATCAAATCCAAATGTCAATCTCAAATCTCAATATTGCACATGCTCATTATATCAGTGATGACATTTTGTGATACTGCATCATTTGGTAGGGTATGTTAGATCAGAAAGCTAGGTTTTCCCTATTCATCTGTGGTTTCATGGTTCAGATAATAAACAAAAGAAAGAGGCTTTTCCTTCAATGGATATTATTTATAATTTATTTTATTACTTTTTTTAATTGTAGAGGTAAGGTGAAAACAGAAAAGCTACTTCAAACATCAAACTGTTCATTGTTTGACAGGAAAGCAACTAACAGCATGGTATGTCAACATGAAACTAGACAGGAATGGAGCTCGCTATGCTTTCTGAGAAGCATCTCATTTCACTATCACAAAACATTCTTTAACAATTTCATCCTTAGTTACTTTTCAGAGTACGAATGTGTTAGCAAGCCCACTGCTAGGCCCATAATATCTAAGGAATATTGAAGGAGGAAAAAGGAATGTAGAGAATCAGACCCACAGGAGTCATGACGAGAATGCTGGAGGACATGAAGGAATTTGACTAGTTAGTGGAAGGGAAAAATAACCTCCTGTTCACGTGGCAGAGAACATGGGAAGACAGGAAAAGATGCAGCAAGTTAGTTGAATAAAAAGAGAAAACAGGGAGTGAGGGAGGGGAGGAATAAATAGGGACAATGTGAGAGAGAACCGGGCCTCTCAAATTGCCTCGGATATCCTACATTTTCTGTTTCTGTTCTGTAAAAAGGGGAAGAGAGTATCTACTGTTTCTGTACAAACCTACCACCATTACTGATATCATACTGGTTGACATCAGTAGTTCACTAATATACAGTATTATTCAGCTATTTTGGGTCCAGTTCTATAAGAATGTAAAAGAAGGGAGTTAAGTTCTCACAACAGCTATAACACCATCATATGAATTAAGCTCCATATTTGTTATAGATGACATCACATCAAATGCCTGTCCTGCTCTCTCTGTCACAATCACCTGGTGAAGAAAAGCAAAATTGATTACTAGGACAATTGACAATCTTATTTGATTATCAGTTACCACTTTATATTATAATAAAGCTGAAATTCTTTTGCTCTAATTTGCAGTATTGGAGCAAACAAAAACTTCAGTTTTGATGTGAGTAGCTATTTGTTAAACACAAATACTTGCAGATGCAAAAGAAGAGCTGCAACTAAGATGAGCCAAGTTAAATACTAATCAGCTCAAGCAAATTCAATTAAAATATATATTTATTTTTTTGAAAACTGATGAAATTAAAAGACTACAAAGTCTGGGGCAAGAAACACCCATCCTGTCTCTACTCAACAGATCTCTACAAACAACAGGAACCTCATGCAAAACATGCAAATCCCAACCTGAGAAAGAATACCCCAAGGATGCTATCTTATCTGCTACCAATTAAAATATATTGATCCTAAGCGAAAGTTCAAAAATAAGTCAAGCGTCAATATTTTTTGTGCTTAAGAAATAGAGCTCAAGAGTCAAGTCAGTCAAGATCATGAGCAAAAACAAATTCACACAAAATTGCTTTTACTTCATTTTCTCCTCTTCTCAAAAATATTAATACATGTTTTCATCTAATAAATTTCTTTTTATTAATTATCAATAAAATCATGTCATTATGGATATTTATATTCTTCATTCCTAAATATAAATTTTAAATCAGCCTCGGTTTAGTCAAGCATCTCATAACCTGAATTCAGTTCTCATTTAATAATATCTACCAAGATATATATTCTTGTTGTTTAAACATTTATAAACAGCAAGTATAACTCAACTTTTAACAAGACAAACTCAAATAGCTTATAAGTGGTTTTATTTGTTTATAGCCCTAGTGATAAGCAGTAGGATTGACTAGCCAAGACAAGTATAATAAAAGAAAACAACATATTATTCTAAAAATGTATAGAGGATTAGAATATTCATTGTTATTATTAAACTCCAAAGTTAGCAGCTAGAAATTAATGGAAACGGTTATTTCTACTTCAACCACTACCATGGTCCAAAATAAGATTTGAAAAGCTATTCAGCAAGGAGTTGATGGCCCATACGAAGACTGGGCATGAGCTTCTTAAACAATATATAGCAGATTGGAGTTAAACATATATAAACATAACATTAAAAGTTTATCAGTAGCTATCCATTTAGGGCCTGTTTGGTGTGACGTATAAGGCCTGATAGTATAAGATTATACTATACGTTATGACATTTTCAGTTGTTTGGTGTGACCATCGTATAGTATAAGCTTATACAACAGGATCCCTTTATACATCAAAATGATGTATAACTTAATCAAGCCTAAGGGGGTAGGATTAGGCCTGATAAGGGTTGACATATTAATGTTGCTTAAAAGTACAATTCTCAAGAACTAATATATCATTTCAATATTAATATATTAAAATAATTTTTTTTAATATATTAATTTTTAAAATATTGGAGGATATTATTTTATACAATACCATACCAAACGCAGGATAGTATTAAAATTTAATCAGATCTTATACAGTCAGGTCTTATACTATCAGGTCTTATACTATCATGCCTTATCCTATACTATGCACCAAACATGCCCTTAGTAAATTACTAGAGATGATAAAATTTCACCTTTGTTTCTACTTTAGCACGTGAGAATATAGGAGCCACAGCTTCCCAGGTTCTACAGCCACTACCTTTCCCACTCCTTGGATGAACAAAAACCTAGTGAATCAGAAATAATCTCTGGGAAAGGTTCATTTCATTTGATCAATGAAAGTAAAAAGCAAAATAATAAGGCAGGTGTTTGACCAAAAGCAGAACATACCAGAAGATTCCTTGGTCTTCCAACTTCAAGTTTTAAGGAAGCATTAAGTTGATTTACCCATTTCTGACATGTTTGCAATTTTTTATGACCAAAAGTATATTCAGCCAGGATCCACTGAGAAGGTTGATTCTTGCTCCTTATAACACCATGCACATTAAAGCGGTACATCTACAGTAGTAAGAAAAAAACTATTAAACATGATAAACATATAAAGGAACAGAATCGCATAAACCAAGAATGAGAACAAGAACAAACCTTTACGCCATGACCTAAAAGTAGACGTTCGGTAGCACGAGGTAGATTTGATATATGAATCGAGCCATGATCGATTAACTCGACAGCATATATGTCGGCAAGTTTGATCTCGGTAACAACTTTAGAAACAGATTTAATGCCTAAACAAATTGAATCATCCTGTTCCATTGAACATTTAGGGAAAATAGTATTAGATGAAACACAAACTGTGTTTATTTTGGCAAATATTAGTTTGATAACACAGTAAGGTGTTTTATTTTAAATATATATGAGGGGACAAGGGAAAAAAATAAAACATGGTCAAACAAGCCATGAAGACTGATTGACTGAATCAAACCATAAAATGGTATTTATGACCATTCATCCGGGATGCTATGATGAAATGGCAGAAGAAATTGCTAGACAGTGGAATTTCTGCCAATTTTTGTTTGGATAGGGAAAATGATCGAATAAATTTTTATGGAAAAATACAAAAACGAATCTTAAGAAAACAAGATCACGTCAGGATTACGATTATACATGACACAACCAAAACCTTGATAAAATTGCATCCCTGGTTCATCCATACTAAGATAGTTATCCCAAGTTGATTGTGCACTTTATTAATAACTTAAAAAATATTTGATTTAACCCCAAAAATCAAATAAGTGGGAAATAATGACATTAAAAACAAAAATATATTCTTATACATTTATGCTCCGTGGAAGATAAAAAGAGAGGAACTAAAGCCAACTAATAAATTCTCGAAAATTGTAATTGATTACATATATATATATTGTAAAGAACCTTGGGATACACCACCCCAAAAGCTAGCTCAAAGGGTGGGAGTGCCCAAGGCCTTATAAAGGCCACATTAGTTGCACATACAATCAATGTGGGACTATATATCTCAATACGCCCCTCACACGAGAGCCCATCGGGCTTGAAGAGTGGATGATGCAACAGGCCCAGCCTACCTGTGCTAAGAAATTCCACAAGAGAAAGTGGGGAGCGGCGAGGCTTTGATACCATGTAAAGAACCTTGGGATACACTACCCCAAAAGCTAGCTCAAAGGGTGGGAGTGACCAAGACCTTATAAACTCCACATTAGTTGCTCATACAACCAATGTGGGACTATATATCTCAACATATATATATTCAACTTATTATTAATTTTAGAAATACTGAAAATTTATTAAAAAAGGATGACTATACTAACAGTTCCTGAATGAGATCAAAGATGGCAGAAAGCACAGAGAACCAGTCCCTAATTAGCATACAAGGGTCAGACATGGCACAAAACACATAGAATCAACTATGTCAACCATTACATGAAAGACTATTTAACTTGAACCTATTGGCTTAACAAAAGATGGTGTTACTACATGTGTCAAGGCTTGTAATAGCACATCAATTTATTTTCCAATCAGAGTAGGTTTATACCAAAGTTTTTCTTTAAGTCCTTATCTTTATGCTCTAGTCCCAAGTATTTTCGTTTTAAAGTTATATATAATTCTTGGTTGCAAGAAATGATTTATGTATACTTAGTTAAGGAAAGTATAGGAAGTGTATTGATGTCTGATCTTGAACTTGGAATGTAATCCGGGCTTGGACACCTCAAAACAGAATGGTCTATATTATGTAAATGTTAAATTGAATATTAACTCTATGCATCCAAGAGAATCCAGCTGAGGACCCTTGTGCAATTGTTGCCTAAAGAGAAGAAGTAAATAGAGTTAGGAAGGACTAAGTTATCATTAATTAGACTATAAATGATCTTATAAGAAAGCTTAGCTTTGTAAATGGCATTTTAGGGTAATTTTGAGTTAAAAAAAAAAGATAAGAGTTTGAAGTTAATATGTATAATAATTGTTAGAGAATAGTATAAAACCATTAAAAAGACCCTCACCTAACAGTTTAAGTTTTTGGATTGAATTGGTTCTTTACATGGTATCAGAGCCTCCGTATCATGGGTTCGATCCTCACCGCCCCCCATTTAATTAATAATTAATTAAGTCATGTGGAGTTTCTTGACACAGGTAAGTGGGCCTGTGCATTATCCACCCTTCAACCCCAGTGGGCTCTCATGTGACGGAGTGTGTTAAAGAATAGTATAAAACCATTAAAAAGGCCCTCACCTAACAGCTTAAACTTTTGAGTTGAATTGATTCTTAACAATAATAACTAGGGGAAAATCTAGTTTACCCCATATGCATTTTAGTCCTAAAACCTAAAACAAGTGCAACACGATTCCTAAACTTTCTAAAGTGTAGGTTTTAATCCTTCCGTCTAATTTTCCATCAAACACTAACAGAAATTTTCAAGACCAAAGTACAGTAGAGTATAAGCTGGAGGGGGCAAATTGAACTTTTTCCATCAAGAAATCTAGTACAAAAAATGGCCACGTGATTTGAGCTTAACAATTTCCATTAATATTTGACGGAAAATTAGAATGATAAAATGACAACTACATCAAACATAACCGCAGACATGTGAAAAGCAATATTCATTTCAAGTACCACTTTCATAATCTGAACTTGGGGTCAAATCAATCTTCTACATGCAACCAAGATCATGTGAATCATACAATAATCTTCACTTCAAACAGCCAAGCAAGCAAGGTTCAAGGGTAGCTCCTTTACCCCAATCACAAGTTTGAACAAACTAAGACAAAAAGCTACTCAAAGCAATATCATTCTCAATTACAATGAGAACTTGAACCACCAATGACAGAATGCATTTAATCCTAGCCACAAAATAAAATTACAACATCCAACAATACTACATGTGAACCCCACCTGAATATACAAGATTTAAACCCCACTCAAATAATTAGGCCGAAGAACATATCCAACCATATCAGATTGCACAAACACGGTAACAGCAAACCAGCATGCACAAAAACAAGACCCCATTACCAATTTCACAAAATAAGCCAAGAAATTTTCACAAACATGTTACAAGCAAATCAAATGAGACTCACATTATCAAAAGATTCCACCAATTTCCAAGATAACCCATCTGAATTGAAGGTGAGGGTGACCTCCCCAACATGATCCAACAAAAGGGTAGAGCTCAAAATGGATGCTTCACCATTGGAAGGTGCAGCAGAAGGGTGAGATTTGTCTCCCACAACACAATCGTTTCCCTCTCTCTCCATTCCCAATGGAAGAGTCAAGGAAACGAGATAATATGTTTAACCCAACAAAAATTTCCAAGTTCTGGCAAGATTGAAAGTAGCCTCAGCCAACGTGAGAGGTTCAAGTTTCTAGCAGACACCCACGTTTGAAAAGTGGAAGGAAGATGCAAGGAAAGTCTTTTATTATTATGGTTTTTTTGTTGTCTTGTTTCACGGTCTGGGTTCCAACACAACCATTGACTTGATTTAGTATCCAAGCCAGAAATGGAACACAAAAAATTGACAATGTAATACCCTTTTCCCTTTTACCAAACATTGCTTTGGAATTGTGGATGGTTATTATTCTTTCTTGCAAAAATATATTAAAAAAATTTAAAATTTCTCATTTCGTAAATAAATTTATGTCTTTGCAACGCATAAAAATAGGTGAGATTTATGTAGATTCATGTAAAGAAAAAATAAATAAATAAATTTTACATACTTTTATATATATATAAATATATAGGTAAAGTGTGTGTCATTTTAAAAGATGTAAAGTTGTGTCATTTTAAGAGAGAGAAAGAGATAGATAAAGGAGGGGAGAGAGAGTAGTTGACAAAAAAAAATAAAGGTGTAGGTCTCATCTCTTTGTGAGAGTGAAAGGATATAAGTTGTGTCATTTAAAAGGATAAACACTTTTCTCTATATCATTTAAAAGGATAAACACTTTTCCATATATATATATATATATATATATATGGGGCAACATATTCTTACACCGGTGTAAGAGTTTACACTCAATCTTGATCATTGATCCACTTGTATCCAATGACTCACATTACTAAAAAAATTAGAGCCCTTAGATATAAGTGGGATCAACGGATAAAATTAAGTGTGTAACTTACACTGGTGTAAAATGATTCTGATATATATATATATATATATATATATATATATATATATATATATATAATAATTTTATCTATTATAACATAAGAAACATTAAACTCTGGAAAAAAAAATCTTGCAAAATAAATAAAATAGACAAGGTAATTTTTCTAGCAGCAATTGAAGTTGAAATATTAAATAAAGAGAAGGTTATATTAACAATTATTTTTATAAATTACATTATATCTTACCGATAAGATTTCACTCAAGAATGTCTTACCGTTAAGATATAATATAGTTTGTAAGAATTTATAAATAAAAAATTCGTAAATATAACCTTCCTATTAAATAAATAAATAAAATTATATATTTATAAAGAGTTTGGTGTTTGTCATTCTAAATGATATAAGTTATATCATTTTAAGAGAGAGATAGACACAGCGAATGGAAATCATGGGAGAGAGAAAGTGGATGGTTTTTTTTAATTTAAATTTTAAATAAAAAAATAAAATTATGTGTCTATCTCTCTCTTAAAATAAAGTAAGTTTATGTTATTTAAAATGACAAACACTTTTCTTATTTATAAAATAAAAAATAAAAATAAAAAAGTGGTTCCTTGTGTTTAATAAGATCGATTGATCGTTTTGTTCTTTTTTTTTTTAAAAAAAACACTTTACTTTTCTTTCCAAATTACATAATAATATGCTTCTTTTCTTTAGTTATATATTAGTTTGTTCATAGTTTACCAAACCTTAGTTTTTGATATGGCCAAATTTTGGATTTGGATGAGCTTTTAAAAAATGAATTTTTTATGTCTTGTTTATTTTAAAAGTATTTTTTACAAAAGCTAAATATATTTAGATTTTGAAAAAATATTTGGTTTTTGCAAAAAAAAAATATTTGGCTTTTGATTTCTACTTTTTTGAGAAGTTAAAATTTTTAGCTTTCAAAAAAATAAGTTTTTAGCTTTTTCGCGATTGCTCTTTTTGTTTAAAGTAGACATCCAAACTAGTGTTTTAAAACCCCGTCCTACCCCGGGGTCGACCACTCCGGGTCACTAACCCCCTCGCTGAGGGTTCAGGTTAGTAGTTAGACCTTACTTACACGTTGACCCCTCTAACCCCCTCTAACCCCCTCTAACCCCCGATTAAACCCTTAACTCCTGGGTCAGAGGGGTAACTGCATTTTTAAAAAAAAAAAATTATACACAAAATGACGTCATTTGATCTGTAAAAAAAATCAAAAATAAATACTCGTTTCTGCCTAAATTTAGAACTAGATCTGAAATCTGAATCCTTCTTCTTCTTCTTCTTCTTCTTCTCTTCCGATCTTTTCTCGGTGACTTGACTCAGTCTTCCTATTCCGGTGATCTTTTCCATCGTGCTGGTTCTTCTTTCCCCACCGTTAATTTGTCATGTCGCCACCTTTCCTCCGCTATTATCTATTGGGTAAGGGATATCTCCTTTCACATACTATTGTAGGTGCATAAAAAGAACAAGAAGGGTCTGGGTTTGATGATATAACTTTTCATTAACTCCATTGAAATATGTGTTTTATACTTTGATAGTTTGATTAGCTTGTGAACATTGATTTGTAGATGTAATTGGTTGAATTATGGTAAGTGTATATTTTGATTTTTAATGATTCGTGGTGTTTTTGAATTTTTCATATTTTGGGTAAAGGATTTCTTCAGTCATCGAAGATAAAGTTATCTCCAGTGAGCTCAAAACGACGTCGTTTTGGGACGAAAAACAAGGTATTTTTGTAATTATAATATATTGCAGGGTTATATTAGTTTTTATATCATTGTAATTTTTTAATCTTATAATCCCAAAACGACGTCGTTTTGAGCTCACTGTAGATAAATTTATCTCCGGTGACTGGAGAAATACTTTTTCCATAAAATATATATTTATATTTTTTAATGTATAAAATCGGGTCAACAAAGTGACCTCGTAACCCTCGGTTAAACCCGTGACCCCTGACCTCGGTCGGGTCGATGGCCGGGCTGAGTTTTTAAACACTGATCCAAACACTAATTTATAATGAGAAATACTTTTTTTAAATAAAAAAAAAATTATCCAAACGGGCTTTTGGTCCTTAGCAACTTATTTACTTGAATAAGTATTGATCAAATTTTAATTAAATATGTCCGATCAAAACATAGTTTAAGAGGGGAAATGTTTGAAAAGATTGGCAAAGTAATAATTATTTTTAAAATATGAGTAAAATGGTGAATCAACCATTTAATACGAAAAAATGGTTGCAAAAAAAAAAAACGGTAAATTTGAATAACAGTACCACTTAAATCAATCTTAGTCATTCATATAAATTTATGTGAGTGGTACAGAACAAGTTTTCTGTGATAATTTTTTGTATATTATATTTAAAACTAGGATGACGTTTTTTCTTTAGAAAAAAAGGTAATTTGACTTGAATATATTTCTTCATGGCAGAATTTTCAAAAGACAAGCCAAGTCAATTAAGTTGTTAAAATTATAGAGATGAAAATACGAATATCAATTTTTCGTAATTAATTGAATTAGAATAATGTCATTTGCACATTTCTCTGCACAATTCATTGCATTTTCAAATGTTGATAAGATTTTTTATTTTTTTGTTTTACAAAAGTTATCTTATATATCCAATAATAGAATTTATGATAAACAAAGAAGAGAAAAAAACAGAAAAAAAAAAATAAGAGTACATCAAAAGTGAACAATTATAATAATAGGGGATTATCTCTATTAAGGGCTTGTTTGGTGTGATGTATAAGGCCTGATAGTATAAGCTTATACTATATGTTATGGCATTTTCAGTTGTTTGGTGTGACCATGGTATAGTATAAGCTTATACAGCAGGATCCATTTATACATCAAAATGATGTATAACTTAATCAGGCATAGGAGTGGTGGATTAGGCCTGATAAAGGGTTGATGTATTAATATTACTTACAAGTACAATTCCCAAGAACTAATATATCATTTCAATATATATATTAAAATAATTTTTTTAATATATTAATTTTTAAAATATGGGAGGATATTATCTTATACAATACCATACCAAACGCTGGATAGTATTAAAATTTAATCAGGTCTTATACAATCAGGTCTTATACTATCAGGTCTTATACAATCAGGTCTTATACTATCAGGTCTCATACTATCAGGCCTTATCCTATACTATGCACCAAATATGCCCTAAATATCTTTTCCTTAAACTAAAACTTCGCAAGCTCACTATCTTTTTAAGAAACATTCAATTACATTTCTTTTCTTTGTATTTTCATCTGTGTACTCATTTCTTTAAACACTTTGGGAGTTCTGTTTCATTTTTTTCATACTTTTATTACTTATCATTTGAATTATTGTTGAGTTAGAGTTAGTTTTGTATCCCTTTAGAAATATAATATCTCGTTGTATAGATGCTCAAAGAGACAACGGTATAGATCAAATCTCTAAGAGAGTCAATGTGAGTGTTATCTCATGTTGGGTTGAGAATGAGGGAATGTGTATGGGCGTGGTGGCTTGTTAGGGATAACCTAACAGAGAAAAGGAAAATTGAAAGAACTGAGAATTTTTATTAATTTGAAGTAACCCATTCATACAACAAGAATTCATTTTATACATGTTCCCTTCACTAACCAACTAACCGCCTATTAACAGCCTTAGTTAACTAACCAACTAACTAACAACCTTAGTTAACTAACAGTAAACTAGCCAACTAACTAACTCAACTCCTATAGCTGATACATTCCTTAAGCTACAAAGTCTTTAAGTAGCACAGAATGTTGCTTCACTCGTGTGGATGAAGCTCTTCGTGTAACATGGCTCTAGAATTTGGTAGAGTAATCGCTTCTGAAAAAATAACGGATGCAAGATGCCTCTTCAAAGGGAGAAGAAAGGTTTATATAAATGAAAAATATTCTCTAATGATGAGAGAGATGAACCATAACCATTTGCTAATGATGAGAACATAATAATGATGAGGACACGCACCACTACGTGCACTGTGGTGAGCTATACAAGGGAGTGAAATATCCTCTATAGTGAGGGGAGGAAGGGAAGTGACCTTTAATGTGCCTTTGTAGGTCAACCTATATACATTGGGTTGTGAAGGCCGAACCAAAACACCATTCTTTTATATTTTCTTCCTTTTGATGTGTTTTCCTAATGAATCTTTTCAAT